ACACCACGGCCAGAACCTGGACAAGCCACAGATGCCCACTGCCAGCCAGATGTCACCTCCCTTCCATAGCCTCGCTCTTGGCGATGAGTTGGGCAGGCCAGGGGTCAGTACCTCATGCCCCATGGCTCCTCGGCTGGCTTTCAGGGTGAAGCCAGGAGACAGAGCAGCCCTGGGCAAACTGTTTCAGCCCTACCTCCTCCAGGAAGGCCTCTGTACTCAGCCTCTTCAGCCCCAAGGTGCAGAGTGGAAGGAACTGAGTAGTCCCTGAGTGTCTCCTGCTGACTGATGCCTGACGGGGCACCTGCTGCTCTGGGAGCTTCCCCAGAGGTCTCAGGAAGCAGAGCATGACTGCTCTGTGGGGAGCCCTGTGGGGCTACCTCCAGGAAGCACCCACTCAGCACAATGATCTGTATTTCACAGGTGACAATACTGAGGCTCTGGAGATGAAGGACTCTCAACTTCAGTCTGCAGGAGCCAATGAGCAGCACAGCAGGGAAGTCATTGGGCTCTAAAACCAGAGTCTCCGCTGCTCCAGCTGCTCCAATGCATCTCCTCACCCCACATGGCAAGGCCTGGGGCTGGGAGGCCAAGTCTGAACAGGAAGGTTAATGGACAAGAATATCCCCCGACCAACAGCAGCTCCAGCTGGGGGGGCCTGCTCTGTGGAGGCCTGCACTCGGTGCTTGTTGGGTGGGTATGGGTGTTGTTCCCCTTTTACAGAGGGACACTGAGGCAGCCGGAGGCTCAGCTCATTCGATCGAGCTCCCCTAGCTGGTAAGTGGGAGATCAGGACTTGGACTCTGGCAGCCTGTCCCTGGTGGGTCCCTGGCAGGTGCCCAGGTCAAATCCTGTGGCCATTCTACCTCGCTCGGCACAAGGACCAGAGGAACTATTCTCCCTGGACTCTTACAAGTACCTACAGAGCCTTATGGGGTGAGGGCGAGCCTGCCCCCAAGAACTTGGGTGAAAGCAGAGTCAAGCCTCACTTTGGGGGGCCAGGTGGTGGTGCAGCAGTAACACCCTGGACCCACACGGGAAAGGTCCTGGGCTTGAGTCCTGTGATCTCTCTGAGCACACCAGTTATGCCCATGATCTGACCGGCTAAGTATGGGGGTGGATTGTGGCATGAGAACTCTGTCTCAGGATGGGGTGCCTGTCTCTCTCTCTCACTCATAAAATAAATAAATATACATTAAAGAATATACCCTATACCTGCACAGATGAACAGGTCCCAGGGCCCGGCCTACCCTGAGATTGGCTGTGAAATCAGGCAGCTGCTGGCCTCCCGGCCTCCGGGGTGACCACAGACCACTTCCCCTCTCTGGTTTTCGCTTCCTCTTCTGTTAAGAAAAGGCTTTGGTGAAACCCAGTCTCTTTATTCCCCTCCCCGCCAACTGTCATGCAAGTCAGACAGGTAAAGCATTGACTTCCCAGGGGCATTTTGGGTTTTAACAGGTGGCCCTCTTAACTGAGAGGCACTAAAAGCCCAGAGAGATGCAGCCACTGGGCTTTGTGTTTGGAAGACAAGAAGCGAGAGCCACTGCAGGTGGGAGGCTTCCCAGGGTCCACTGCAGCCCCCAGGAAGGAAACTCCCGAGGGCCTGCTGCAGCCAACTGGTGCTTTACAAAAAACAAACATTGGCATGTTAGTTTTCCCCCAGAGCCACCTGACATTGGTTTTATCATCCCAGTTTACAGATGAGGAAGCTGAGGTTCAGGAGCTGTCTACCCAAGGCCTCATAGCTGCTAAGAGGCGAGGCAGGGATTCAACCTCAGTCTGGTCAAAGCTCGAAGTCAATGCACTGGCCCACACTACCACCCAAATTCCACTCCCGCATAGCCACTTACTATTTATTTATTTATTTTGCACAAAGTAAGAATGACAAATTCGCTGAGCAGCAAACAGTCCACAATACCCATTTGAGTTTTAGGTAGGCCTGGGTTCAAGTCTAGATCTGTTGCCTTCTGGCTGTGTGATTTTGGCACATTCCCCTCCCTTAGACTCAGTTTCTTCAAATGTAAATAAAGATAATTACCTTGGAGGGCTGTTGTGAGTATTACATGGTCTAATCCATGCAAAGTCGCTAAATAGTGCCTGGTACCCAGCAAACACTCAAATATGAGCAAGAGAGAATAGATGGGTGATTGCCCCCAACTCCTGCTGCCTCGGGAAGCAATATTAGAAACTGCTGGGACCAGCAGATGGTATAATGGTTATGCAGCGGGACTTCCATGTAGTGGACCACAGTTCGAGTCCTGGACCCAGTGGCTTACAACTCATGCCAGGCACGTGTGTATGTGCATGCCCAAAGTCCTGAGAGGAGAATGGAGAAGGGATTGTGGTGTAGCCATCCCCAGGGGGTGATTTCTCTTTCTGTCTCTCCCCTATAGCAACAATCTCTCTTAAAATAAACAAAACTATCAAACTGTGCTGCCCTGGCCCCCAGACCACTAATCTACAGCTTCCAGACTCTGCACTGTAGCCCTGGGCAAGTTCCTCCTCCTCTCTACGCTTCTTTCTTCACCTATAAATGGAGAGGAAGACGTTGGCCTTGTCAAGCCATCCAGAGGGGTCTGTGGCTAACACTCTGAAGGCACCTGTACCCACAGCCACCCAGCGCTACTGGTTATCATGATTAAATGACAGACACGTGATGGTGTTGGGTGTGACACTAGGATGTAGCCTGCTTACGTGCCATGGGGCTATCCAGCCCTGCCAAGGCCGGGTCCTCCACCTTCCTCTCCACCTCCTGCACTGCCCACCAGGTGCCGAGGACACTTTTGTAAGAATGACACAATCCAGGTGGCAGCTACCTTGGGCCTTGCCACTCAAACTTTAGCAGGGCCAGGCCCTTGTTAGCCTCTCAGGCCTTCTGAACCAGACTCAGAACACTGAGAGGTGATTTGTGCGCAGACTGAAGTTTGAAAAGCACCTGGTCTGCCTTCCTGAAGCTGGCCAGGCCTGGGCCTTGGTAAGAGAAGCTAAGCAGCAACAGAGGCTCCTGTCCTGGGGAGAGGGGGGTATCTATGCCCATGGCACTGGCCCCTCTACCCTTATGGCTTCTGCAGAGGTAGTTTAGAAAGATGGTTACGGGCATGAGATTTGGAAACTTTCCTGGGCTCAAACCCCCATGTGTCTACTTCGTAACTATGACCTTGGGCCTAGTTAACCCCTTTGTGCCGTTTCTTCATCTATTGGGTTGTCAGGAAAGTCATGATGCATTTTTGCGTAGAAAAACATAGAAAAATATGTCATGGCTTTTCCGGCAACCTAGTATAAAATAGGAATGCTGTCAGTACCTCGCAGGGTCATTGCCAAGATCGCGTGAATTGTGCAGCTCATGTTTAGAACAATACCTGGCCCAGAATGGTCAGCACTCCCAGAGCCTCTGCTAGTGACACTAACGGTTATTATCTGTCCCACTCACGGAAGGCAGAGCTGGCTCTGGCCACAGTGGCTCTGAGATCCACGCCCGTTTCTGCTTCTCCTGTCAGCTGAGGCCAGGGCCCTCCTCGCAATAATATGAAACTGGTCACACTTCACATACGAGGCAGGTTACACTCCACCTTCACTCTTGGGCATCACCTTTTAGCGTCCAGACACCCATGAGCAGGTGCTGCCCCATTCCTCAGGTGAGGAAACAGGCCCAGAGGGGGAAATGACCTACCAGCATAAGTCAGCTAAGAGGCCTGGGTGAGGGCCAAAGCGGGGTGTGTGTGTGTGTGTGTGTGTGTGTGTGTGTGTGTGTGTGATATTATCATGCCTCCTGATTAGAAGTATCAAGGATAAACTGGTGCCCAGAGCAGGTACAAGAACAGGGCTGCCTGTCATTTATCTCCACGTGGCCCATGGCATCCTAGCCAGGGGCCTTCGGGTTTGCATCAGGGTAAGGTAGTTTCCCAGCCCAAGGACAGAGGAACACTTTAAAGAAAAAAGAAACATGTCAAAAGTAAAAGGCACCAAGTGGCAGGCCCAGACATGCAGACACGCTGAGGAGGAGAGGTGGGTGGAGCAGTGGACAGGAGGGCTTGCCCCAGCGCTTCTGACTCCCGCCGAGTCTCTCCCCATCAGTAGTGGGGTCCAGGCTTCGCCCTCCTAGCAGGCAGGCTGGCCCAGCAAGCACGTTCTTGCTCTGAGTCCCTCGTGCACTCCCCTCTCACTCACTGCATTCTCAGCAGTGAGTGGATGTCTCCGTCATCACACTTACTTCTCAGAGGGGTAAGTTAAGGCCGATTGCTCAACACCCCTCCCTGTCCCCCGGAACAGTTTCTTACCCTGTTGGCATTTTACTCTGCTCGGTAGACTTCTGGACCCTGCTCCTCCCCTCCCAGGACAGAATCTCTGGCTCCCAAGCAGACTAAGAGGACCCAGACCCTTCCTGACCCCATGGTTCCCAGGACACCACAGCTGGAGGGTGGAGACAGCGGGGGTCTCTCCTGGGGCCATTGGCTGTAGCTTGGCCTCAAGTGAACTCTACTAGGACCCAAGGCCCAGGGCCCACCCAGGCCCTCTACCCCAGTGAGGCCTGGGGGCTGCCACGCTTCCGTCCCTCTCCTTTCTGGCATGCCCCAGGGTGTTTCCCATGGGCGCACCCACAAACCTGGGCTTCTGGACACTGGCAAAATCATCACAATGTTGGAAAAGAAAGCTGCTTCCGGTCACCAAGCGCTCAGTACGCGCCCTGTACACCAGGTGCCTGCGGGCTTAGACAGCGGGGCCCATTTGACAGATGGTGACACTGAGTTGCAGAGGGGCCAAGTGGGGGCAGAAGCAGAACCCGGAGGCAGCCAGGGATGTCTGGGGTTCTGGACTCTCCCTGCCTCATGGTCCCTTGTTAAACAGTCTGGAGGCGGGCTAGAGCCTGAGCCCGAGGAAGAAGGCGCCCAGAGGAACCCTGGTTGCCTTCAGGACGTGGGCGCCCGGGGCTGGGTCCCCCACCCCCCTACCCCCGGGCCGACCAGGAGCTGCACCCCGGACCCGGAGCCCTCGCCCGCGCTCACTTTGGGCTTGTCGAAGGCGGGCGCCTGGGTCATGGTTGCGAGCGTGCGTCCCGCGCGGCTCCTCCGCGAAGGTGGCGGGTCTCTGC